GGAGGGGATTGTGGTCGGGCACAATTTGCAGTTTGGCACCGAAAATCCAAGTGTCAAATTTTTTCAGGGCTTTGATGATACAAACCCTTCTCTTCGGATGGTTAACAATCGTTGTTGATAGGGAGTAAGTATCTTATTGAAAAACGCTATGGGAATTTCTTTGGCATGTTCATCATTTTGAGCTAAACACGCTCCAATTGCAAACGCATCTGTATAGAGTTGGAAGGGCTTGTCGATGTCCGGAGTATGCAGGGATAGCATTTTAATCAGCTGTTCTTTAAGTTTGTTGAGAGATGCTTCCGTTTGAGAGTCCCACGGGATATTATTTGGAATACTCTTTTTCGTAAAGTTGGTTAGAGGGAAAACTATTTCAGAAAAATTTTGCATATAATCCCTATAATAACTTTCTAGCCCTAAAAACTTCTGACTTCTATTTTAGTGGTAGGTTTAGACAGATTCCGGATGACATCTACGTTCTCAGGATCTGGAGAGTGAGTCCTAGAACCTGCTAGGTGACCTACAAACTTCACATGACTATTTCCAAAATACATTTTTCTAATTTTGCGGTTAAACCTACGTTAAACCTAAAACACTTGGTCGATGTGAAAAGTCGCAGAAAATATCCTTGGATTTTTTGAAAGATACTTCCGGTATTTTTCAAACCGAAAGAAAGAAGTTCCATTGGTTACGGTTAAAATGAGGGACAAATGTTGTGTAAGGTTTGGCTTCTTCTTTCATCGGGATTTACTAATATTCCTTGGCCAAATTAAGAACTATTATGAATTTGGCTTTCCCTATTTCGAAGAGTAAATCATTAGCAATCTTAATCAAATAGGCGTCTGGAACTGTAAAACTATTTAAAAGCTTAAAATCTATGCACAGTCTAACACTACCATTCTTTCTTTGCAACACATACTATATGATGTGCGCATTCACAGTCACTGGATACTATAAGATCCCATCCTAAGAGTTCTTTTATTGACCATCAACTTCATCTTGAAGCGAAACAGGCACACGATAGGGTCTTAATCTTTTTGGACTACAGTCTGTTATAACCTTTATGTCATGACCATCGACATTGGCTTAGCGCGGTTTCTTAAAACATCGCCATAAGATTTTAATACCTTCAATAGTCCTTTTCGTTGGTAATGTTTTATGTCACCTTTCAAATTTTGCAAGTGGGTACAGATATCTTGAGATTCAATCATAGGATCCACTGGTGCATAGTGGATATCTCCAAAGTCTTCATCTTGGCCAAAATTGATACCAACGTGATCTACACAAGCAATATAAGGTCTTAACTTATTTATGTGGAGTTTTCTTATACTTCCCCGTTTTCCATTTCAATTTTGGCGGAATACAGTTTTGTAAGTGCGATTACAGTAGCTGGCCCTTGGCAAGTGGTGAGCAATTTATGCGGTGATGATGGCATTAACACGCGGACTTTGTTCCCCAAATTAAAAGTATTTTTTTAGAACGTAAGTTACATCTTGAAGTCTATTCTTCTTCAAATATTTTGGAGTTTGCTGACGCAATGTCACGAGCTATTCAGAATTTTTCTAAAAGATCTTGTAAATAATTTTCTATTGAACAAACAGGAGATTGGGGAAATGAAAATCTCAACTTCTCCCATATTCTTGGACATTTTTGTTCATCATCTCTTTTAAGGTTTTATTCCGACGTTCGACAGCACCCATACTCTCAGGATATCCTTGAGTGGAGAAACACCAAGCAGGCCCTCAAAAGCTCGGATGCGTTTGGCTGTGAAATTAGTTCCCTGGTCGGAACAAATCATTTTTGAAATCCAAAATTGAGAAAACATCCTCACCAAAGCATTGCATGCTGTTTTCGTACTTATCTCTTTGACGCGAGTAGTTATAGCCTTCTTCAACAGAAAAATAAAAGTTGTAAGGCTGTGCTTTAATTTCCTCGTAATTATTTTTTTAGCATGCTTTCCTTTGCTTCCTTTTTTCCCCACGTACAATTCCCTGCCAGAATGAGTTTTCAGGATGGCGTTTTATGTAAATAATGTAGAAACAGTATTTAAGTGGAAATCTCAGTCGCTTCACTCTATAAAATACTTGAAGTGGACATGATCCTGGGCCATTTGCCGCACACCACAGAAAGACTGACCTTTCTACCGCCTAATCATTTTTCATATTTCCTTTCCTTACAGTTTTTGCATTTGTTTTGTCTCTTATTGTACTTGTTACGCATTGTATTTTTTACACTATGCGAAAATTTTCTAACTTTAAACCACTGCCAGTTAAATTTTAACTGCACTTATTGACTTGCTTACTTTGACTTGCCCCTTTGCCTCCACTCACTGCTACTCCATTTCAGGTTCTACTTGTCATGACAATCCCAAGGATGTTGCTCGCGGGATATGCGCACATTCTCAGGACATCCCGGAATATCCCGCAAACCTGCTAAACACCTCCTCCCGAGTGCTTAATGTCACATCCCAGGATATCCTCAGGACATCCTAACTAAGTCCCATCGACAGCGTGCGGGATATTATTAGGATATGAACTCCTACTTACTACATCCTCAGGACATCCCGGGATATCCCACAAACCTCCTAAACATATCCCATTATATCCTATCTATGTCCCATCGACAGCGTATGGGATGTTATTAGGATTTAAAGTCCTACTTACTACATCCTTAGGACATCCCGTAATATCCCAATTTCCTCCTAAACTCATCCTCCTGAGTGCTTAATGTCACATCCCAGTATATCCTTAGGACATCCTATCTAGGTCCCACCGACAGCGTATGGGATGTTATCAGGATATGAAATACTAGTTACAATATCCCTTTAACCTCTTAAATACATACTCTCAACTGCTTAGTGTCACATCCCAGTATATATACAGAGGAAACCTCCAGTGAAAGTATGTGAATTTGTGATGATCTAAAACCTACTTATTTTACTCAGATAGTCTCAAATCCTTCTATGTTTACTATGGAAAAATCAGAAATGCTGAAAATATTTATACAACTTATTTTGTTTTTAAATCTGAATTTGTGAATATATTAAAACTGAGCAAGGAAATTAAAATGAATTATTAATACAAAATATTAAAACTGAACATTTTGTTTTTATTTTTAAGATATTAAAAATATTTCGATCATTTTTAAACATCCAATAGCCCTCAAATTGAATTATTCATAATTAAATTATTTTACAAAATCAGTTTCTAATCTCAGTTAATTTGTATTAAAAATTCAATAATAAAATTAGCCATTTAATAATCTTTACATAAATTAATCATCTTTCTTTAAAACATGTAAGGAATTTATAGTGTTTTGATGACACTGTTGGGAAATTTTTAAAAGGAATAAATTGTATTTTTAAAACTAAATCAATTCCTAGCCTCAGAATAAATAAATATGTTTTCATAACATGAGAATGCTGCAGGCTTTTTTATATATTTAATATTTAGTTGTAAAAATTTGACATTATGTTAACAATTCTTTATATCATTCAAAAAGTAACTCAAGAAGCTCTTCTAAAATTCTATCTTTCTGATCACAGAATTAAAAAAAAAAAAAAAAAAATCTTAAAGCCCTCAGATTTTAGCAGTCACTCAAAAGGGCTCAAAGTTTATGAGTGCATAGATTATCAATACAGATGGGGCAGTGAAAATAGCAAAACATTTTATAAGATACTGACACCAGAAAGTTAAATATCTTCTATATATTTGAAAAGTGATGAACTATATCATGTAATTATATAAAAATATTAAATGTTTTCAATTAGATATATCATGAATTAAATGCATTTTAAATCAATCAGATTAAAAAGTAAAAAAAATACATTGTTAAGAACTGTGTGTATTGCTTTTAAATAGCTTGGCTTGTTAATCGATAAGAGATTAAGATTTTAAAGGTAAATATGTTAAATTTTGCCAAATGGCAAGACTTGAATGAAAAGCGAAACAAGTTTACGATTGACGATATGAAGTCACATTTCGAGACTAATCGCCCTTTTGGATTAAAAAAAAAAGTTCTGAAAATAATTTGCAATGGTTCATTGGTATTATTTTATGTAAAATTCAGTAAAATGAAATTTACCAGTTGAAATCAGCACCAAATTAAACTTTGTAAATTCTAGCGCATGTTAAAGGTTACCTCATCCAGAATTTTATTACTAACTATTCATTTCAGAGCAAAATAAAATAGTAATTGCCATTTATATGACAATCAATATCAAAAATTTAAATCTGCATTTTACGCAACATAGAAAAACTCATGAAGATCTACTGTTTACCATGCAATTAAGGCACTTTATTCTGCAATCAACTCTACCAATTATTAATACTTTTAAGTATATTCAGTTTACTCTTTCTGCTTAATATATGCTATGTAAAATTTTCCATACATTTATTAATTCATTTTATTTTGAGGTGAGCTTTTATTCAACTCTCAATGTCAACGAGAAGGTTTAGTTCATTTTTTATTCGGTCTCAAAAGAGAAATCAAAATACGTGGATTTATGAATCAAAATACATGAGAAATCACAGTGAGAAAAGCACTGCTACCTTAAACTGTGATTATATATAACAAATGCAGTGAATTATAGTTAAAAATTCATGAAAATATTTATATTTCTGAACTATTTCATATATAACATTTTCAGTTTCGCATATGTGGCAATTTAAGAACTTTTTTATGTATACCATGTCTACAAATTTTTGTATTTTCAAGGAAAGCTTATTCTTTCACCTTTAGTATATAAGTAATGGTAATTTACCAGATAAAATTACTTAATGGGGAATACAGAAAAATATCTAACCACTTACCTTTGTGACTTCATCTGCAGAGAGACTAAAAAAGTAGTTCAGCTAAATCTGCTATAATAAATATTTATAATAATGCTAAATCCTGCAATATCTATTAATATGACAAATTTTTGTAAACCTATTTATTTGGATGAAAAATAAACACATTCAGAAATTTATGGCACTATATTATGATTAACAGACGAAAAACACTTTTCAAAATTCAAAATAGTTTTTATTAATCCAATTTATCACATTTTATTTGAATTCCTGAAAAACAATCTTATATCCATGTATTCTTATGTATATAAGAACTTTTGATAAACTGGATCTCTGCCATTGCCTTTCACAGCACCTAAAATAAAAAAACACTCACAATTACTATATGTGAATATAATTCATAATTAAATTTAAACAAATGACTATTAGAATGCAAATTAAAGAAAGCATTTAAAATATTTTAACATTTAGTACGTATAAACAGAGTAGCAATTATTTGATTTTTCGATTATAGTAAAATAAACATGGGGGATGCCTTTTAAAATTTTTTATGTCAGAAAATAAACTCAAACCACCAGCTGAGCATATGAGCAGTTTTATCAATCAGCCACTGGTAGGTAACCTGGATACCGAATCAATATATAAAGTTGCCAAGATAATATGATAATCACATCTTACCTAATCATAAAACTATTTTTAATTTAATGTGTAGGCAAGTCCAAAAAGAGTGAGAATGAATTTATTTTGCAACACAAAGTAAAGTTGTCTTGCAGGAGCAAAAAAACTTGTCTCATGAGATTGGCAAGTAAAAAATAATTAACTGCATCTGGTAACATTTATCTGACAACACATAAGTAATTGTTAGCTACGTGCAGAAAATAAAATCTGATCATGATAAGCAATATGCAATTTTAAACTTTTGAATTTAATTGCAGAAATCTACCAAAGAAGTATATTTTATGTTGTAACAGTAGTAAATGAAGATGTGGCTAATCTTTACTGTATGGTACACCTTGGTTTCTGTCTGAAAAAAAATCGCAAAGTGGTATTGGTTGTTTGTGAAATGTGGAAGCCCATTGCGTGAAATAAGTTTTTCGGTAACCCTAATGTTGATAATGTTGGCGAAAGTAGCCTTTTTTTTTGTCAATAAAAGGAGTTATTTCTGCAAATATTGCCAACGTGTTGTGATAAATTTAGTTTTGGGTTACTTTTTGTAATAGTAAACCTTTTGTACGGACCCAGGTTTTTGGTTCTTACCATTCTTTTCAATTGCTGTGTTTGGTTGCATGGAAGTGGTATGGTCTTGTATTTTGAACATGCTATTATTTTGGTGTGGGTACCATCGTTTGGGTATGTCTGAGATGACTAAGAGACGAAATATTTAATTGAATTGCTTACCTGGAGGATGGAGGAGATGGTGGTGGGAAGCCTAAACGTATGCATGTGAAAAAAAAGGTATGTTAAAAAAATGACGTTTTATTTATTTATTCGTCTGTGTGTTAATTTTTGTTAGATTTGTTGTTTAATGTTTTCATGTTAGGAAATATGTATTTTTGGTAACTTATTCCTCTCTGTTTGTGTATTTTTGGTTGTCTCTGTGTGTTAAGACAGTGGCGAATTTTTTCTGGTAAACATGATATTTTTAACTTTCTGATTTTCTTAAAGTGAAAATAGATCAATGTGTACATGGACAAAGTTAAGGCAGTGCACAATGCCTAGTTTGTGCAGTTCTTTTTTTCTTTTTTTTTTTTAAGTTAAAATAGGTCGATGTGTACATGGACACCGAGTTTGTGTATGTCTTTGACTTCTTATTTTGGTTTTGTGTAGCGGCCATCTTGAAATTGGTGCCGATCCTCTCAGGTGACGATCTTGATATAAAAAGAAACGATTCGCCAAGGGTTACAGTAGAGTAAATTTTTACCAAAGATGTTCTACTATAAATAATCACCATTTCAGTGGTTTACACACTAGTGGAGCAGTATGCAGAGATGAAGATCTGAGTTTTGTTTACACAGCATGATGGTTTAGGCACTCCAGCCATTACAGTGAATAAGATTATAATAAACATAGCCACAATAATTGTCTATAAATATTGATGTATAACACTGCATTAACTAATATATTTCTTATGCTAGTATATACAGAATCCTTAATCGAAGTGAAAATGAGAAGACTGTGCATGCATTTCCTTTAACTGAAACATGGATTTGACCATACAAATCTCAGTCTTACAGGACATGCCACACTATGCAGATAGACAGTAAAAAGTGCTCGTGTTGTTTTTATTTGTTAGAGGTATGAAATAAATATACTTCTACATTTTAATTTTTTCTTTTCTTGTTTTACATTTGGATTACCTATCAAAAAGTAAGGAATTTTGACACATTATTATTTATTATTACACAATTTATTACAATATCTGAGTTAATAACATTCCAAATAACAATTATTGGTAATGTTAAAATAATGAAAATTTTAAATTGGGTTAAAAAATAACTCTTAATTTGGCATATTTTTGAATTAAACTCTATCGACTTTAAAAACAACAAAACGTCCCTCTTTGTTAAGGACTTTAATTAACTAATTTTAAATACGGAGCTATGTATGAATTTTTTCCCTTGCATGTTATAATAACTGAAACAAAATTACACTGATACAGTCAAAATTCCTAAATGCAAGTACATAAAATTTACTTTAGCAATTTAAAGAGATGAGACACACTGAACACATGAATAAATTTCTATCAAAGAATAATTTATTAAATTTGGCCCGTTCCATAGTAAATTTTAACCATTAGATTACATTATTACACCATGTTATCAGTTTGACAAGCAAGTCATATGCGAGATCTTGGTTGTAAAAGAAATGCACAAAATAATATATAGTAAATTTAAAAAATAATAATCATCATCAAAGAATGAATGTCATGAAAAATTTCAAAAACAAGCAGAATTTAATTTAGAAGACCTTTAGACACTTATGATAAATAAATTTGAGAATTCTTCGCCCAAAATTAAATTATAATTAACTAAAACCAGTTTGATTAACCTTCTACAAAATCCTTCAGCTGCAATTTTTTAAGCTTGAAAACCTTGAAAACCATTGTTTTTTAATTCTTCTCCACATGGTAATATCTTAACCAGTTGAAATTCCTACAGAAAGTTTGATAACACAATAATAGAATTAACAAAATAGAATAGAAAAATTAAACACAAAAGTATAGAACATCATTTAAACTTAACATTATTACAAATTTTGGTGCTTTCTGACTATCTGCAAAGCTGTGAAAATTGGCAAAATGGTTAATTTATGGTTATCTACTGCTCTGTTCACAAGTAGTAATTCAAATAAGCACTTTATAAGAAACAAGAAATTTTAGGATGCACACACACAAAAATATATATATTGGGTCAATATTCACATATTTTTCATCCAATGGAATACTATTCAGAAATAAAGATTAAATATAAAGCATGTAAATACTACATACTCTTGCAGTTTTAGCATAAGTTGAAGCTGTGAGGGCAGATGATCAGAAAGTATCAGAATTTTTCATGTATAAGAAAAGATTGCCTTGACAATAGTATCTCAATTGTTTAGCACTGAAATTAGAAATAGTATTATAGTAATTAGAAAATAGTAAATTAGAAAAAATATATAGTAATATATGTATAATAAAAAGATAATTGCATACTATTAATTCATTTTTGTAAATGCCAAACTTTAACAATTCTTTCACATATAATTAAACAGAATTCTTTCACATGAACATTAAAATCCATTCTTAACTAAAAAATATAAAACCATGTAAATTTCTTATGAAGCCCATAATTTCCGAAATGTCCATTTCTGAAAGCTCCCAGCATTTCTCGGCATATTATTAAATTACTAAATTAAGCATCAATGATCGCCATGTTCGCTAATGTGACAATATCTTTCACACTTCTTTGTTACCACAAGTAACAAGTAGGCTTCAATAAATCTTTAACTGTTACATGCTACTTTTGTCTAAAATTTGTTCAAATAATAAAATTAAATGAGTTCTTTATAATATGCTCAAAGAAATAATTTTGTATGAAAATTTGTATGTTATATATTGGCCTGATTAATGATTCAGGAAATAATTCGGGTTTTCAAAGTGCTTCCAATAATTCAAATTTCACCTTATGTCAAAATAAAAACTATAACACAAAGATAAGCAAATTTCCTTATGAACAATGCATTTTAACATTACTCAATCACTGGCGATCACACAGTACTGATTGCTTCAATAAACATTACTGTAATTGTGTTATTTAAAAGACTGTAATGTTTTAATTATTTCCTTAATTAAAACATTACAGTCTTTTCCTCCTTCTAACACCAAAAGAAAGCCCAGATAAGAAATATAAAAATATCAGTAAAAATAAATTATATTATTGAATGATACTTTACATTAATTACACTTATGCATATATTATTTTATTATAAATTATTTCAAAATCAAAGAAGAGAAGGGGGAGAAACTTTAATATTGCCATTTCTAAAATGATATAAACATTAATCATTTACAGTCAAAAGTCGTTAATCCGGACTCGTCGGGACTTCAGCGATTCCGGATTATCGATTTTTCCGGATTATAGATCATCAGTTTAAATCTCGTAAGATGGCATGAAGAAATTCTAAAATTAAAAATATGAAATCGTAATTTATGAAATAAAGAACAATTATGATCTAAAGAGTATCAAAATTTACAAAAAAAAAAAAAAAAAAAAAAAAAAAAAAGCTTAATATTTACTTGTTTACTTTATTAAACATTTCTTTCAATGTAAGTTGATTCGTTTTATGTGATAATACTTTCTCTTTAATTCTATAAACAGACATAATTTCTTGTTCAGTTACAAAGTTCCGCTGTTCAAGTCCCGTTAATTGCTGTGCCGAGAATACCGACTAACTTGTCCATCGAAATTTTTTCGTTTTCACTAACCTCTCTGTCACGTTCTTCATGTCTTTATCCATTTTTTGCAGCAATTCCACTTTTTGTTTGTTGGACATCGAAACATACTTTCGTTTTGTAGATCCTTTGGAAGTTCCAGCATCAGAAATTCTATTTGACATAATCGAAAGTTCAAGTTTACTTTTATAAAATTGCTCTTACAGTCTGCAAAAAATAATAAGCGGGATCTAATTCGAAGATTAAGGAACAACGCAATCATTAATATTAACTGAAATAGATAATTAGATAATTTTAGCTTACACCGTCCGTTATACATTAAACGCGCAGGCGAAAACGTATTCTGCACTAGCGCACACGCATATGCGCAGTAGTCAAGGTCTTACGCGCACACGTAAAACGCCTGTGCGCATGTGCCAACGCGGCGCATGCGCAGAAAGTTATTAGCTTTGACGTCCGGATTATAGATCATTCCGGATTATGGGTGTCCGAATTAACGACTTTTGACTGTAGTACAGTTTGTTATTTCAGGCAAAAAGAATTCACTTTTCTGGATAGCATTTATATTCCCATCTCACTTTCAATGAAACATTATGAGAAATGCATATAATTTAAACACCAGTTTATTTTATTTATCACACAGATTATGTCAACTCAAAAGACCTATCAGTAAAATTCGATAGTAATAATTCTGAATGTTAGGCAACTTGCAAGATTCAACAAAAATTATCAATACTTTTATTATAATGACAATACTACAGTAACATGAACATAAAATTAAACTGCATATAACTATAAAATAAGCCAGCATATAATAATGGTGCATTGGTTTCTAAAACAATGGGCTGGATGAAAAAATACATGTATTATGGTAACTATTCATATTCTTCAGCTTTCCTAATATTCTCATGTTCACTTTACATAACTAAAGTATCTAAAATACAATAAAAATGCAAACAATATTTATGAGAAAATGTTAAAAGCAATCATAAGCATTTGATTGAATGACCATATTTTGTCTTCCTGCAAGTCGAATCTTAAAATGATATGCAGCTTGAAAAATGTTTAATCCTTTTATATAATATTCAAAAAAGATTTAAAAAAGGTACTGTTCTGTTAACAAGACCAAGTTCAGAAATTTATTTATGTATGCTTGTATATTTGTATGTGTGTGTGTCTACATATACACATCTATGCACATACTTAAAAACACAGGTTCATACATTTCCGATTCTGGTCCCGATAACAGAACAGTACCCCCAAAAAAACTTAAAACTTCTAATTCTCCGTGTTTTAAAATTGAATTATACAAACTAGATTAAAATAATGTTTCAACCATACATATTTTGGACAAAACAATGCAAACTCTTAATTGTTATACAATTATTCAAACTATTTAACATAAATTTATTGTTGCAATAAAATAATAAGCAATCTGATCACACATATTATTTTGAAAATGAATGCATAAACTAGACTAAAAAAAATTCAGTCATAAACATTTGGATAGCAGGGCAAATTAGGTATTTGAAAAGACAGCCAGCCATTGAGATACTCTACACGTAATTCACGAAAGAATGGAAACAATTCATAAAGCTGTGAAACATTTAACTGTCAAAATGACATAAATAACATAAATTTGAAAAGCGAAAAAAAGTAAACATACAAGTATTGCAACTGAACTTACCTTTCATGCAACAAAAGATATCCATACAAGTAAACCTCATGGCGCAGCCATTTTGGATTTCGTTTCAAATCACACAGACGTTTACGGATTTGCGGAAGAATACGAGGAACTAGTAGTTTGCCGGATACAGTGAGCAATGACGCGAAAGAATATAATTCTGCAGAACTTCCTACATTATTCCGTAATAAACAGTACTATTTCATAATTTTTTTCTTTATCTAATTAATTAATTAATAGGGAAATAGTTAAATAATGCCGAATTCATTTTTAATGAAATGTAAAATTTGGCATGTATGTGACGACCACCTTCTGCCCAATATTTCTGAGAATATAAACAAATATCTGAGAATCTAAGAGTATCAGTAAATAAATATATAGAATATCGCCTCTCAAACGACCACTTCTGAAAGTGACCAATAATTCTAAGATTATAAATAAATATTGATATTAAGCATTATTTCTCTAAGACGACCATCTTTATATAAGACCAAAGCGTCTAGAATCTTGGATAGTAATCAGAGAATTATTTTTACTGCGGAATTATCGCACGACTGTAATTCAATATCAATAACAGATCGCGCGATAGAATAACATTTTCAGTCCAGTAATTAGGGAAAAATTTTTTCCCCTTATAAAGTTTTTCTCCCGCTTTCCTAGAGTGCCCTCGTGGTGTAGTGGTTCTGCCCGCTTGCCCGGTAATTCAGAGGTCCGTGGTTCGATTCCCGGCGAAGGCGGTTGCTAATTTTTCATCTCTCCGGCACTCCAAAAAAATTCTAATGTCTCTACAGTGGTGCCCGAACTAAAAGGGTGTTGGAAGAGATATATCCACACCCAGAATTTAGCGATTGGGCCCTCTTTTAAAAAAAAGTCGCTCTTTAAAAAGGGGAGTAATATAAGGTATTTCTCCCGCTTTCCTAGTGTGCCTTTGTGGTGCAGTGGTTCTGCACTCTGGGCCGGTATTCCAGAGGTCCGTGGTTCGATTCCCGGCGAAGGCAGTTGCTAATTTTTCATCTTTCCTGCTTCCAAAAAAATACCTAATGTCCCTACACCCTAATTTAAAAAAAAACTGTTTCCGTAATTTAAAAAAAAAATTCAGTTTACAGTTGAAAAAAATCTTTTCATGAGTAAATAATTTTTAAAAACGTCAGAAAAAATAGCAGTTAAAATTAATAACAAAATAACAAGAATAAATTATCAATCATATCAATATTTTTAGTGTACAGCATTTAGAAACAATTTAGTAAAATACATATGTGTGTGTGTGTGTATGAGTATGGCAAAGCCTCGAGGGTTATCTGCCTAAGAGGGGGGATGCCTTCGTGGAGGACTTTCTAAGGGAAACTGGCTCGTATACACGTTACACATGGGGAAAACCACGAAAACGCCCATGCAGCCAGCCCGTTCGCGGGATTCGAACCTCGGACCGAACTACCAGTGTTCAGCGACTTTACCGCTCGGCCGCTGGTGGGCTA